GAGATTTGCTTCCGATGAAGAAATTTTCTAAATTTATAAAAAAGCTAATGCAAATTTTTGTGCTTTTCTTTGCAGTTGTGCAAATGCAGTAAGACTTACTGTGGAAAATCAGCCTCCCATTTTCAAGTTGCTTTCAAATTTAGCTTTCCTTTGATGAGAATTTTTTGCACTTGTTTTGCGTTTTAACCACTTTTTGGGACTGTTGTTTCAGAGTTCCAGTGCAAGCCTCTCAGTCAGTTTTGTTCAATTTTCATAGATTTAATAAGTCAGTAACAACAGCTATTTATAACTATGACGACCATGATTTTATTGTCGGTAAGCTATCTGATCTTAGACTAGAACGGGCATTGATCGGGACGAACTGGTACTGCTCAGCACACATCAAACATATTTCGGAACGGCAATAGCCTTCCCAACTTCTGAAAACTGTTGCGCTGATAATCCCCTGTTAAGACAACCAGCGGATCGGTTGATAAATGCAGCATCAGTCAGAGCAAATGAAAAAGTTGCCAGCCCCATGGTCTGAGACGCATGGCATGTAATCCAGCTAATCAAATATCGCAGTAATGAGGGGAGTTACTTGTAAAATATGAAGTTCTGAATGGTCAATTTGAATTTAGGTGAATAAAAAAAACAAATTAATTCGCGTCTCTTCACTTACCTTAGACGCCATTCTGGAAACCGACGAACATTGAGTGGATGCTTTAAGTTGACGAATAAAGTATTCTTTTGCTGTAGTCGAGTTAGGTATAGTTTTATTTTGGCCTGATAAACAAATTCCTCGGAATTTTTGCAAATTCCTCAATTTCATTATTCGTTGAAACAAGCAGGAGAGGATGCACAAATAGGCAAGCTTTCTGTAGGCACCATATACAATTACAAGACCATAATGTAGAATAAATGCTTTCAAAATTCGCTTATGAGAAGCATTACTAAATGCGATACATGCCCAGGTGCCTTCAAAACCCGGCTTTGGTACTCCAAATCCAAAAAGTCCAACCAGTTGTCCTTTGGGCCAATATTGCGAATCACCTAATACATCGCCCTCTTAATATTCTTCATCTGGCACTGACTTTCACGCTCCAAAAGGCAAAAGAACAAGTTGTTATGTAACAAATTTCAATGAGCAAACCAACGTAGTTTACTCTGAATCAAAAGTACCACGAATATCAAGGTCACCTGAACAGCCAGCACTGACTATCGCGTGTTAGTGGTGTTACTGTGATGTATCCACACACCAGGCACAACTGCGCTAAACTCTACGAACATTAGCTATGCACCTTTAGCTTTCACCTCCCGCTTCTTTGTAGTACCAGTACTGTAAAAGCTATAAAAAACAATAAAAATAATATGCCAAGTATAAAAAGCGAAACTATCCTTTCTAGAATTTAAGAAAGCACAAATTAATTAAGCAAGCAAGGTACTCCAAAACATCTGAGTGTGGTAGATTAGTAAAAGAGGTTACTGAAATCAACGCTAAACGGAAATGACTACAAAAATAATTTATAAACCATAAAAAGTAAGAAATCTAAAAAACTACAAAATAAAACTTCTAAAAATAAAAATTTTATATGACTAAAAAAGTCCTACAATTGCATGTAAGTACCAGGCGGGATACTACACGGCGTCTAGCGATGATTCAGGATGCTTATCAGATCGAGCACAATGTGATGAAAGAAAAGGTAAGGAAAGAGCAATACACTACTTAATCCTTCATCATCATCGCCTCTTTGCTACAGAATAAACGTATGGCATTTGCTTTTGTTGATTTTTATAGATGCAAATACATTAGGCGTGGTCCGCGATAAAAGCCCTCCTGAAAAATCCCTTCTCCTCCTCTTCTCGCTATTCAACACAGTAATAGCTCCCGTAATACCTATTCTTTTTTCACTGTACTGGTCGGGTGCTACTAGGTTTTACGCGGCTGATGCGGGGCCTTCTTACTACCACCGGTGCTTACGCTGAAGTCTTACCTACGCTACTGATTGTTTCCACCATCCAAAACTGCGCCAAAGTGCTGCTGATAGTTATTAGATCAAAACCCTAAGATTGCGCTGTCGCTGGTGCCAGAAATTTACCTGTTATTATTATCTGATGAACCCAAACCCAGGTTAAAGCAGTTGCTGATGACGCTGCTCGAAGCTACGCCTAAGCTACTTCTGCTCCCATCGCCCAAACAAAAAGCTAAACTGCTGTCACAGTTACCTAAGCCTATATGATACTTGAAATTAGGAAAAATAGTCAAAATTCAGAAATTGAGAAAGTGTTCCATAGCGGCAAGAGAATAATTACAATCGTTTTTTGGCTCGCTTCGGTTAAAAAAACAAAAAAAAAAAA